GCAGCAGCAGACACAGAGAAGCGGGGTCCTCGCATCCTCAACTTCTCCCTGCTACGCCCGCATGCAGCAGCAGCAGCAGCAGCAGCTGCAGCAGCTGCAGCAGCAGCAGCAGCAGCAGCAGCGGTGGGTGCTGCAGCAGCAGAGATGTTAAGGCTGGCCTCTGTGTCTTCAAGGAGCACAGGTGGCTCTCCCTTTTGCTGCAGCAGCAGCCGCTGCTGCTGCTGCTGCTGCTGTTGCTGTTGCTGCTGCTGCTGCTGCTGCTGCTGCTGCTGCTGCTTGATATAGGAATCTATGAACTGCAGCAGACGCCTGGCCTTAGCAGCAGCAGCAAGTCTCCGTCTCCTTGCTGCTGCTTCTGCTGCTGCTTCTGCTGCTGCCTCTCCCCTCGCTGAGGTTCTTGGGGGCCCCTCCTGCTGCTGCTGCTGCTGCTGTTGCTGCTGCTGCTGCTGCTGCTGCTGCTGCAGAGGCAGGGGGCCCCCATCTATGAGGGGGCCCCTCCTTCGAATCGACCAAAAATAACTCGGCAGCACTTCTTCATCCCAAGGAAACGTAGGATGCTGCTGCTGCTGCTGCTGCTGCTGCTGCTGCTGCTGCTGCTGTTGCTGCTGTTGCTGCTGCTGCTGCTAGTGTCTTCATTATTCTCGTCTTGATTGTTGCTGCTGCTGCTGCTCCTACTATCAGTGTTGCTGTCCCTGGTGTTGGTGTTGCAGCTGCTGCAGCTGTTGTCGCCGCTGTTGCTGCTGCTGCTGCTGTTGCTGCTGCTGCTGCTGCTGCTGCTGCTGCTGCTCACAAGGGTCCTGCTGCTGCTCCAGCATGCAAAACGAACAGCGGGAGGTTCTGTGGGGGCCCCCCGGGGGGCCCCCCAGAACATCCCCGCCCCAGCAGCATGTGGTGCAGCAGAGGCGCAGCAAAGGGTACAGCTGGGGGGTGGGGGCCCCCGGGGGGCCCCCAGCAGCGCCGCATTGAACTCGAGGGCTATGATGTCATTGCTGCTTCTGTGCTGCAGTTGCTGCTGGTGTTAGTTT